AAGCCATCAAAGCGGTGTGGTTTTGGAGTCGTAAAGGATCTGTTTTCTACATGGATCACCCCCCACGTGGAACATATATAATTGGACTGGGCGGTCAGGATGGAGACAAATGTCTTTGCTTGGTGTTGGGATGAGCATTTGTGAGTGTGTGTGTGTGAGAGAGAGAGATGTACAGATGGATTTGTTGGAAGGGAAAGGATAAATTTCTTAGGGCACATTTTTCTTTCCCTGCTCTGTATGTCTGTGTCTTTTTTCACTCAGCAAGCCTGCCTGCCTGCCGGTCTCTCTCCCTTTTAAATAATTGTGGAAAATTTGTGTCTCATCAGAAGAATGCAAGGGAGGAAAGAGAATATTGATGCAAGCTGTTTTGCTGCTGTTGTTAAAGTTTCCCACTATTTCCTGTCCCAAAACCTCAGCGCAGAGCAGAAATTTTGAGGTTCACAAACTAGCAGATGGAGAAGACATTTGGAATAAAACTTGAGCTTTGAAAGTTAGGATGCTAGTGCCCTGATACAATTATTTTTCCTGAGAGAATGATCCCCAGTCACTTCCATGAAGTTTTCTTCTGAGGACCTTGGCCTGCTCGCCTTCAACACTCTTACTCTGCGGTAATAATCCTGCTGACATTCAGCTGAGATTGGGAGAGAGGAGGAGGAGGAGGAGATTTGTGGGAGAAAAGTCGGAAATCGGGGGAGAAATCTGCTGGGGAGTGCTGAGAAATAATACGGGTTTCATTTTTGATATTTATCTACCTGTAATCAACACCTCCGCAAAACCACAGCGTAATCTCTCCTCTCATATTAGAGAGTGTGTCATTCTCCCTAAATTGCATGTTTTAAAAACAACAAAGGCAGGCCTTACTTCATAGAGAACCGCCAGGAGTTGCTCTGGAGCAGTCTGATTTTGGTTGGGAATTGAAACGGCGCAACCGGTTTTGTGTGTTGGGTGGATCCCGAACTAAATGCATGGCATCCAAAACTGTGGGGCCACAGGTGGCTGTTGACAACTGGCGTATCTAAAGCATCTTCTTTGCGGCACGAATTGGCCGTATTTCTCCTGTTCTTGAGATACGGCATTGATTGTGATTGCAGCTTGGCTGGGTTTGTTGGAAAGAGAGAAAGCGGGTGGGCTGCAGGTAGGATTTTCTGCTGGTGTTTTGACTGTTTGCATCTGGAGAAATTTGGGGCATACTTAACCAAGTAACTACAGTATTTTTAGTCCCACAGGACTGATTGACAAGAAAATGTGGTGTATTGTTTTTTGTTCCTGGTAGGCTTCAGATCAGCAAGGGTCAGATCCACACCATCCATTTACAGCCCACTCACTTTCCTCAGAGAATCTTGGCAGCTTAGTTTCCCCCCTTCAAAGTTATAACTGGGGTGGTCTTTGGTAATCTTTCATAATATGTCGCCCTGCATGAGGCCAAAATCTTGCACGCCCAAATAGATCTTATCAATTATGGATCTTCTCAATTTCAAATTCCCAGCATCCTTAGCAAACGACAGTTCCCAGCAACCTCTGGGGTAAGTCATGTGCTTTGAATGTATGGCGTGGATCTGCCAGATCCACTACTTTTAATTACGCATAGAATATGGGCACCATTGGTGAAATGTGGCCAGGTCGCTTATGGCAGCCTCTCTCCATCCAGCTCCTTGGATCCTGAGGCTTCTCGGCCATATATGCTTTTGTTTCAGGGCCAGTGTTTAATTTATTTATTTTTAAGTGGGTCTGGGTATAAGGGGGACTCAGCCCAAAGGCTTCTCCACCTGCAGGTGCCACCCCTCCCCCCCACTCAAATTGGAATTACAAAATATCCCTGAATTTCCCTTGGGCATAATTGGGGACAGGAGGAGACCATAGTTCAGAGTATCTGCTTTGCATGAGAGGGACCCAAGTTCAATCCTAACAACTCTCAGCACTGTTAAGAAACCACAGTTCCCATAATTATTTGCCGTGACTATTTAAAGTGGTATGGTAGTGCTTTAAATGTCTAGTGCAGATGGGGCCCTTATCTCAGAAAATGTGGAACTATGCGTTTGCCGCCACAGTGTGCAATTTCACTTTGCTTTATGTGCCTCATCTGTACCTTCAGCCCAGTAGCACAAACATTGGAAATATAAATATTTCTGTCCTCATCCTAGCATTTTGTTTACTTAAGTGATGTTGATGGGGGAATGGGATTGTATTTGTCTTCCCATTCGATTCAGAGTTTTCAGCCGCAACAGAACAGAAACTAAAGGGTTCAGGATCACTCAGTTTGAACTGGAAAAATGAGCAGGCAAGGAATGCTAAGTGCTTAGCCACACTTCTTATTGTCATGCTGTGGGAGCATTCTTTAGCACTCAATCGGAGAAAATTCGGGTTTTCTCTGGATTGATGTTGGTTCCGATTGAAAGCTAAAGTGTGTGCTTGACCTGGGAAAGCAGTGGGGCTAGGGGGAAAAGGCTCAGACTCGTGCCTGGAAAGTGCAGGTCAACCATCTTTTTTGGACATTTCTTATTTACAGCACTTTGCTCCTTTCACATGCTTGATCGTACCTTGCTCAAGACCGGCTGTCATTTAACCACAAATAAGGTCGGCGGTTCGAATCCCCGTGACGGGGTGAGCTCCCGTTGCTCAGTCCTTGCTCCTGCCAACCTAGCAGTTCGAAAGCACCTCAAAGTGCAAGTAGATAAATAGGTACCGCTCTGGCGGGAAGGTAAACGGTGTTTCCCTGCGCTGCTCTGGTTCGCCAGAAGCGGCTTAGTCATGCTGGCCACATGACCCAGAAGCTGTACGCCGGCTCCCTCGGCCAATAAAGCGAGATGAGCGCCGCAACCCCAGAGTCGGTCACGACTGGACCTAATGGTCAGGGGTCCCTTTACCTTTACCTTATACTGCTTGCATATTGCCAAGGTGGTGGTTGTTTTTCTTTTTCACCAAGTATTTGCACATCAAACAAGAGGGCAGGAGAAACAAAATGTTGTGGAATGTTGATCCATAATCATTACCATAGTGAAAACATAGGTTAGACAATTGCAAATAAGTCACAACACTTGGCTGTTAATAATCATCTAATTTCTGCCATTAGATAAACGCGGAGTGCCAGTCTTTGCTTTGGGAACAAGGAACCTGTGGTCCTCCAGATGTTGCTAGGTTACAGTTTCCATCATTCCTGACTAGTACTGATGGGAGTTGTAGTCCATCAACACACAGAGGGCCGCAGGTTCCCCATCCTTTCTTTATACTGATATTTTGCATCCAGTGTTTATGGACTGCCCTCAGTTCCATGTTCAGGAGGAATTCTAGAACTCAGGACATACTGTGCACAACTTACTTTTTGCCTGACTTTGCTCAGTTCTTCAATCTCTGTTCTGAGAATCAAAGTATACAGTATGTTCAATGCACATGCCTTCTGTTTTTTCCTGAATTTGTTAAAGTTTCGAAATGTTTTAAATATTTTTTTATTGCAGATGTGTTTCTTGCCCTCGGCTCATTTGGGAGAAAGGGCAGGGTATAAATGTAAATAAACAAATAAATAAATAAAGGCGCCAGGGGGTTATTACCTTGATCACAGCAGTGCATCCCTTTCCAGCTGCAGCTGGGATGGAAACTGGGGGTTCAACTCCATTTTGCAGCTTAGGAAAAAGTTCCCATTGGCTGAGCAGGAACGAATTTCCATCGTGTTTCAGGATAGAGTGGATTAAACCCTTCTGCACCGTGGTCAGGATAATAATATCGTCGTGTTCCACTCCCCACCCCCTGGCACATATAATAAAAAGCACAAGTTGCAGTTGCATACTACTTATTAAGTGGTTAAGGACATGAGCGTAGGCAGGGAGGGGCAGTCGTTCCCCTACATCAAGTGAAACAATAGAAATACAGTGGTACCTCGGGTTACATACGCTTCAGGTTACAGACTCCACTAACCCAGAAATAGTACCTCGGGTTAAGAACTTTGCTTCAGGATGAGAACAGAAATTGCACAGAGACGGCGCAGTGGCAGCGGGAGGCCCCATTAGCTAAAGTGGTGCTTCAGGTTAAGAACAGTTTCAGGTTAAGAACAGATCTCCAGAATGAATTAAGTTCTTAACCTGAGTACTACTGTACTTAACTAACTGACCAGTCATGACAGTTCTGCCCCCCCCCCCGGAACAAAGGTCCTTCCTCCCCGCTAACAAAAATCCTGTCTATGCCCATGGTTGGGGATACACAATAGCTCAGTGACAGAACATCTGCCTTGCATGCAGACGGTTACCAGGTTCAATCTCCAGGTAGGGCTAGGAGAGATTCCTGCCTGAAACTCTGGTGAGCAGCTATCAGCCAGGGTTGATAATACTGAACTATGTGGACCAATGTCGAAACAAAATTTAAAAATTCCTTCCGGCAGCACCTTAGAGACCAACTAAATTATTGGTATGAGCATTCGTGTGCATGCACACTTCTTCTGATACCAACACGGCTACCTACCTGTACATGGACCAATGGTTTGACTTCTTCCAAAGGGTAACATGTAGTTTGGCTCCAAAAGAGGGGTGTCGTTGGGTGTTTTTTTTGTAAGATGTGGTGGCCCCAGATGAGAGAGAAACTCTCCTTATGGCAACAGTTTCCAGGATGGTTTTGTAGCTAACAGTTTATTATGGTATAAGCTTTCATGACTTAAGAGTCCATCAGGCCTCCTGTCTTACAAATATTCCCTTAAGTCAGGCATAGGCAAACTCGGCCCTCTAGCTGTTTTGGGACTACAAATCCCATCATCCCTAGCTAACAGGTCAGGGATGATGGGAATTGTAGTCTCAAAACATCTGGAGGGCCGAGTTTGCCTATGCTGCTGAAAATAGCTGCTTGCAGTAACAGGCTACATGAGCACAGGACCAGACCCTGCAGCGAACCCAGTGGTCAGCTTTGTCCCTGTATCTTCTTATTGCAACACCATCAGCCATGTCAGGAGCTGCTTCACCTGTTCATCTTCGTCTTCCAGAATAGTATCATAGTGTTGGAAGGGAGCCTGAGGATCGTCTAGTCCAACCCTACAGGAATCGAACTAGCAACCTTGGCATTATTAGCACTACGCTCTAACCAACTGAGTTATCCAGGCTGATGCGTGCTATCACCTGCCAGCAATGCCCTTCTGTCCTACCGATGGAGGGCAAACAGATCAATCTCTGTGCAAAGGAATAAATGGACACAGATCTAACACAGCAATTGGCAGCATTCAGAAACCAATAGGAAAATATTTTCGTTTCCCAGGATCCTTCAACAAAGGAACTTCAAAAGGAGGCTCCACCATGAAATTGTCAATGAGAACTTATCAGGGAGCTTGATATTATTTGCTTAGGCCTGAATTGAGACAATGGTGTTTTTCCTCTCACTCCAGGTGTTAGACCTAGGATGATTATGTTATCTGCTGCTAATAATGCTGTGTGTATCTGGTTTACTTTTGAGCTTTGCATAGAATTGTCATAGAATACATACCTATTGCCTTTCATGGTCATTTTGCCTCCTGTTTATATTATGTTCCCCATCTATATGCCCATTTTTTATATTTGCCACATGAAGATAGTGACTTATGAATGTGATGAAGTGTTCATGAAAGCTTAGGTAAAGGCAAAGGGACCCCTGACCATTAGGTCCAGTCATGACCGACTCTGGGGTTGCGGCGCTCATCTCGCTTTATTGGCCGAGGGAGCCGGCATACAGCTTCCGGGTCATGTGGCCAGCATGACTAAGCCGCTTCTGGCGAACCAGAGCAGCGCACGGAAACGCCGTTTACCTTCCTGCCGGAGCGGTACCTATTTATCTACAGTCATACCTCGGGTTGAATATGCTTCGAGTTGAGCACGTTCGAGTTGCGCTCCGCGGCAACCCAGAAGTAACGAAGCATGTTACTTCCAGGTTTCACCGCTTGCGCATGCGCAGACGCTCAAAATGACGTCATGCAAAGATGCAGCAAAAAGCAACATGCGCGTGCGCAGATGTGCCGTCGCTAGTTATGTTTGCTTCTAGATGCGAATGGGGCTCCGGAACGGATCCTGTTCGTATCTAGAGGTACCTATGTACTCGCACTTTGGCATGCTTCCGAACTGCTAGGTGGCAGGAGCAGGGACCGAGCAACGGGAGCTCACCCCGTCGCGGGGATTCGAAAGCTTATGCTACATTAAATCTGTTGATCTTCAAGGCGTCATAAGACTAGTTTAGTGTTCTTTGCTCATGTTTTATCAGGGTTTCTTTCTGTAAACAAGTAAAAGCATGAATGGAAGATACTTTCCTCTAAAGGTGTAGTAGACATTCGCTGGGGAAAAATGTGGCCAATCCGGCTTCCCAACACATGCCCTGAGGTCAGTCAGTAGAGCATGAGACTCTTAACCTCAAGGTTGTGAGTTTGAGTCCCGTGTTGGGTGGAAGATACCTGTATTGAAGGGGGTTGGACTAGATGCTCCTTGCGGTCCCTTCCAAATCTATGTTTCTGTAATTTAGAGGTGAGGACCGGGGCCTGACCTTTCAATTTGACATATTAGGTGCTGATACAGCTGTGGCAAACACGATGTGTGGTTTTTTTCATAATGGGTGAAAGCATGGAGGAGTCTAGCTTGGAGTTATGACCCCATGCATGTTTACTTTGAAATAAGTCCCACTTGAGTTCAGCTGAACTTACTGGCAAGTACAGTGGTACCTCGGGTTAAGTACTTAATTCATTCCGGAGGTCCGTTCTTAACCTGAAACTGTTCTTAACCTGAAGCATTACTTTAGCTAATGGGGCCTCCCGCTGCTGCCACGCTGCCAGAGCACAATTTCTGTTCTCATCCTGAAGCAAAGTTCTTAACCCGAGGTATTATTTCTGGGTCAGTGGAGTCTGTAACCTGAAGCATATGTAACCCGAGGTACCACTGTACAGACTCTGCTAACCCAGAAATAGTGCTTCAGGTTAAGAACTTTGCTTCAGGATGAGAACAGAAATTGTGCTCCGGCGGCGCGGCGGCAGCGGGAGGCCCTATTAGCTAAAGTGGTACCTCAGTTTAAGAACAGTTTCAGGTCAAAGAACGGACCTCCAGAACAAATTAAGTTTTTAACCCGAGGTACCACATAGGATTTGTAGAGGCAGAAGTAACTGACTACAAAGGGTCACAAATATGTTTATTAATCAACACTTTAGCCTTTATATATAAACTTTTTAAAGACATTACTTAACATTTGAAGGTGACCTTCACTATCATGAGGACTTGAAACCTGATTAAAAATAATAATTACAAGGAACAAGAATTATGAAAGGCGGAAATGGCAGTTTCCTAACTCCAGGCAGCTTCCGAAATAATATTGGCTCCATGGGATGCTTTGAAGCAAGTCTTGAATGGAGACATAAACAGAAAATGTTTAATTGGAGCTGCCCTTCCATTTCGATTTTTCAGGAATGCTTCTGACACGAGCATGCTGAAACAGTCCTTAGGGATGACCCGTTCAAGCGCAACATTTCCCACCTGTTTGTGCCATGGAACCAAATGTTATGCGGGAGGTGGCCCTCCCTTTTGATTTTTAATGAAAATCAGTTTATTAAATTCCCATTGTGTGTTCCCAAACAGTTGTGCCTCATTTGAGGTGGGGAAATGATAAAAGAAACCTTGTAACTGCCTTATCAGTTTCTTGTATGGTATTGAGCAACCCAAGTGATATTTCTTGCAAGCAAAATGTGTTTCTTTATTCAGAATGAATTTTATTCTGCAAGGCATTTCTCTCCATATCAGATTGTAGAGTCTCTAGCTATTTACAAATATGGTAGATCTGCCTTAAGATATAAAGCCTTAAGGTAGAAGTTGAAGCAAGGCGTTTCTTGGTCTCAGCTCTGTGCGAGAAATATAAATCGAAACTGACATGACTTGTTTCCCTGCTGGAAGGTGACTTCTGAAAGTATTTTTTTACACATTATATAGTCGCAAATTCAAGTGTGTCACTGAATAATATGGAGCTGCAGCCAATCTTGACTTCTTGTTAGGTGTCAATCTTGTCAGGAACTGCTCATCACTTCCCGATGTGTTGAACTTTGTACCTGTAGCTTCTCTGGCAGAAATTCCTCCTGATCTGACCTAGTTCCACCTGTCCGGCCCAGCCATTGGCTCTTCATGGGTAGGAATGGGGAGGGGGAAAGGACTTAATTTTTTAGATGAACCTTGCTTGGCAAAGCAAGGTCCACTGAAGTGCTAGCATACAGTAAGCCCACAATTTACGTGGGGGCAAATTTCCGGGGATTGCACCTAAAGCCAACATTGCATATAGTCTAAACTCATGAGGTTCAATGGCGGGTGGGATTGCCAAAGTTCTCTTTCCTGGATGCCTGCCATCTTTCTTCCACCTTATTTTAATTTTAGCCAACGATGTAAAGCTGACTGCACACAACTTAAATGTTCATGAGTCTTCCTCTTGGTTTTGACTCTTAGCTCAGCTCATTCTCTGACCTTACCTCCTGGTTGGCCTCATATCCCACTTTCTCTCTTGGCTCCCAGTTCCTGACTCCTGGCACTCTGGACCACTGCCCATGGCCCGACCCTGATGCAGGTGTATGTGATGTACACCAGGGGTGAGGAACCTTAGGCCTCAGGTGGGGGTTCCAAATGTGCCCCCACAAGCTTCTCTATCTGGCTCTCCCCAGGCCACAACCCCTCTCAGTGTGGCTTTGCACCATCCTTAAATGTTTTTGACTGGTTTCCTTAATGAAATATACCCGTATTTTTCGCTCTATAGGACGCACCAGACGATAAGGCGCACCTAGTTTGGGGGGGGGGAGAAAACAAGAAAAAAAAATAAATCTGAATCCCAGAAGCCAGAACAGCAAGAGGAATCTGGCTTCTGGGATAGCCTCTTGCTGTTCTGGCTTCTGGGATAGCCGCTGAAGCCTCAGGGTGAGTGGGATGAAGGCTCACCCTGCCCGGAAGAGGCTGCGCGCAGGTAAGCTGCCTCTGTACCTTCCCCCATCTCCCGCAAGAACCGCACGCTCTTTAAAGGGGGCTTTTCTGGGAGGTGGGGAAAGGGACAGAGTCGCGTGCTCTGTCCCTTCTCCCCACTTCCCGCAAGAGCCGTGCGAAGCCTCCACACGACAGCTGGGAGCCTTCGTCCCGCTGCCCTACGGAGGCTTCACGGGGGCTATCCAAAAGCCAGAATAGCAAGAGGAAGCGTTGCGCAGCTCTCCCTCTAGCTGGTCTAGCTTTGCGTGCCTTCATCCCGCTGCCCTGCGGAGGCTTTGCGCAGCTAAGACCGAAGCTAGAACAGCGAGACGGAGCTCTGCGCAGCGCTCCCTCTCCCTGCTCTGGCTTAGCCGCGCAGCCTGCATTCACTCCATAAGATGCACACACATTTTCCCTTACGTTTTAGGATGGAAAAGGTGCGTCTTACAGAGCGGAAAATACGGTACTCTGAGTCGAGTGTGCATTTCATTCTCTTTATTCAGCTCATAGTAATGAGGAAGAATGGAAGTTCCCCCAGAATGTCTGCTTTATATACATTATTTACACAATGGGCCCCACGTGATTGGCTAATTCTGGGATTCTCCTGTAGGCCAATCAGGGATTGGGTGGCTCCTGTGGACCAATCAGACTGCTGCACTCTGGGTCCTGTTGTTCTAGGACCAATCAGACTGCTGCATTCTGAATCCTATTCAACTCAGTACATAACACTTAACCTCTCTTAATGCTTCTCACTTGACCAGGAGAGGTGTGCATAAAGTGAAATTTATATTCATTGCTCTGCCCACATTTCCCTCCCTCTGGTTCCACCCCATTTCAGAAGATTGCCAGAAGGGAATGGGGCCCTCAGACTGATAAAAGGTCCCCCACTCTGATATACACTTTTCCAAAATACAAATTTGCCCTCACTTGCTGATCACATTTACACTTGGAAAATAATTTGTTATACAGTACTTCTAATAAATAAATATAACAACTGGAATACCTCAGAAGAGAACAAGTGATTATGAATGAATCTGACCTATTGTGTGTCAAAACTGTATAGAACCTATCCTTGTGGAGAAATTCAACAAGTGCCCACCTGCCAAGTCATGTTTTGTTGACTGTGCTGAGCTGTGGGACCTGTGGCGAGCTATTTCTGTAAGAC